AGAGATGAAGAAGTAAGGGGAGCAAGGAGGAGGGGAATGTAGAAGGGTGAAAAGCAGTAAGGAGATAGGGAGGGATATATAAAAGGGGGAGGAAGAAAAATAGTAAGCAAATAAGGGGGGAAGAAGCAGAAAAATAAAGGGGGGATAAGAGATAAGGAGAGAGAAAAATAAAAAGGAATAAGAATAAAGGAATAATAGGGAGATGAGGGGAAGATAGAAGTAAGGTTAAAGGACAAAATATAGGGATTAAGTAGGAAGAGAGAATAGAGTAGGGGAGAGAATGGAGATAAGGAATACTAACTAGGGAAAAACGTAAGGAAGAATACTAAAGAAGTAAGTCAGGGAGAATCAGGGATCAGGACGACGGAGCACAGAAACGGAGGGAGCGATATCATGGAGCAGGAAGCAGGAAAAGCCAGAAGAGAGAGGATAGTACTAGAGGGGCATGAAAGAGGGAGGAAGGAAGAACGCAAGAGGAGAGGGGGAGAGAGGAAGGAGGAGTAATAGGAGTAAGATGGAGGGGGAGAAGAGAGTCAAGAGCAGGGGAGAAAGGAAGGTGAAGACTAAAGAGAGAGGGGGGCAAGAGAGGAAGACGATAGGGGAATAATAAAGAAAAAGCAAAGGAGGATAATGGAGGGATTATGATGAGATGATTAGTATTATGGGGAGGAGTAAGCAATGCAGAAGAAGATAAAGGAGAGGAAGGGAAGGGAGAAGAGATATAAGGGGATAAGAGAGAAGAAGTGAGAACAGGGAAAGGGGAAGAAGATGAAAAAGGTAAGAGGAAAGAGGATCACATAAGAAGAGGGAGGGAACAGAATAGGAAGAAGACGAAGGAAAGAGGAGGAATAAGGAGGAAGAAGAATAAATAAGGAGAGAGAGGAAGAAATAAGACAGAGGGAAGACGAAAAGATAAGGAGGGAGAAGGAGGGGGAAATAAGACGAAAGAAGAGGAAGGGATAGAAAGAGGAAAAAGAAGAATAAAGAGATAAGAGGGGAATAGGGAAGGGCCAAGAAGAAGTGAAGGGAGGGAGAAGAGGGGGGAAAAGGGAAGAGGAGTAAGATAATAAAAATGGAAGGGGGGAGGAAAGTGAAAAATGCGAAATAAAATAAAAAAGCCAACACGCGAGGCGATACAGGGGGTGAAGAACAAAGAGGGGGTCAAGAAAGAAGATGAAGGGAGGAGATAAAGGGTGGAAGAAAGAAGTAAGAGGGGAGCGGAGAAAGAAAAGAGGAATTGGGGGATGGGGAAATAATAAAGAATAATAAGAGGTAAGAAATAAGTAGGAGACGCGGAGAATGATATACAGGAGGAGACATGAAGAGGAATAAGAGGTAAAAGAAAGAATAAGAGGAGGGAGGGATAGAAGAAGAAGGGAGGAGGAGATGGGATAGGCAACAGGAGGGGGGAAATTTGAGGAAGGAGGGGAATGAGGATAATAAGAGGGCATTATAGGATTAGGCAATAAAAATAAGGGGTAAGAGGAATTAATAGGAAGTACAGGAAAGAAGTAAGAGAAATTAAAAAGAGAGAGGAAGGAGGGGAAGGAAGAGGTATTGATGTTGCATAAAGAAAAGATGAAGCAGGATAATTTTACCTTTACAAAGATAACATATCCTAATCGTATAGTTACCCTCAACATACAGATATTCCTCTTCTTTATTTTTTTTTTGTCATACTGTGTTTCCCCCCCACCCGGAAGGGGGGGGGGGGGGGGGGTAAAAAGCAGTGATTCTCAAAATGTGCGCCTCGGCGCCCCTGCAAGCCGAAACCTCTTCACAGAGGCGCCGCGAAATAGTCGAAGATACACAAGTTTTCTTATAATCGAATAGTCACACTTTTACATAAGTTAAGGCACCTTGGAAATTTTTTTCGAATAGTCACACTTTTACATAAGTTAAGGCACCTTGGAAATTTTTTTAAATCGAAATAAATTCGCTGCGACTAAGAAATGTTTGGGAAATACTGGCGTGAAGCGTCGCGGAGAGGAGTTAGATGCAGTTTCCTGTCTTATGATAGTTTTGTTTGATGATATACTGTGTTTCTGTAGTGTCTCTTTTACTCCCTTTATCCTTAACTTTCTTGGTCGGCCTCTTGCCTTGCAGCTCGCTGTTCTCATGTAGTTCGCTCTAGCCGGTGACTGCTTTTGTACGATTTTGACCCGATGACCAAACCATGTCATTCTTTAATATTCTATGATGCTATTTAAACAACACATTTAATATTTTTTTTTCCAGGCAGCAAGAAAAACTAAGACATACTTCTAGGCATCATCAGGGATTACCCTTGAATGCAGCAGGCCGAATGATCCATCTGGATTACACGGAAATACTTCAGTAGTGATCCCCACTTGTGGACTTCCTAGAGCTGGGTCTGTCATGGCTGACATCCTTAATAAATTGTTCGGCCAGAAACACAGTAAGCATAGCGGCGATCAAGGCAGCAGTAAAAATTCTAGTTCTGAAGGCGAAGGCTACACCAAACATCAAAGCGAATTCTGTAAGTACCTCGGTATCTTGTCTGGTCTACCATGTTTGATGTAGCTGTCTTGGCTTTTGTTTGTGACAATTAGTGTTCATCTTAGTCGAGATTTCAACTTCGCTACAATCGGGTTTTCCCATACTTGCTCTGTTCCTATGCCAGTGAGAATCAAATGAAATGTCCCTTACTGTCGCATTTGAAAAGCTAGGAAACAAACAATTAGTCCTGGAAAAATCCAGAAATATGCACACGCAGTAAATGCATAAGGCAGTTGCTAGAGGCGCCAAAGCCAACAGTCACCACAAGAAATGCAGTTTGTCGTTGATGGAAGTAGTCGGGCAGGATAAGTTGGCTATACACACGTAGAATTATTACATAAAGTATTTCATCAGCTCACACATAAGCCGGCTATCGGTTATATTGAATACAACGACACCATCGCTGCACAAATGAAAGGCATTGCACTGAAAAAAAAAAACCACAGCTCACAGGGCTGCACTAAACACTAAACTTAGTAGCACAGGCAGCGAAACCGCAAACTACGTCCATATGTGGAAACTGCATTAGCAAAGAGCAATCGGAAGCACACACACACAAAAAAAACTTTTAAGCTCAACATTCTGCTATGCCTAATCCACCATTTTTTGGCCAGAAGGTATGTTATGACAATCAACATCAATGCACACTTGGCATTCTCATGCCTGCTCAGTTCTCTGACGCACTAGCCATCGCAAGTAAGGTTACTGACTGTTTCCCTGACATCGGTGAAAATGTTAGCTAGCTATCTGTCTCTTGAAAAATCACCGATGTGCTTCGCTAGATTTCATTCCGAGATCACATAGTCGTTTTAGCGTCCACGATGTGTGTCTGTCTTGTTATTAATTCCTTCTTTAAATTGTTGCGGCCTTTATTTCTGTCTGTCCTGCCTGTTAGTGAGTCCTTGTAATTGTCGTAGTTTTGTGTTTGTGAAAGTCTTGTTAATTGATATTTATTTTAGTTGCTCTGACATTTACGTGAGTCTGTCTTGTTAGTCATTCACTTTGTAGCTGTTTCGGCATTTCTTTGTGTTCGTGCTACTTGTTAAAGATTCCTTGGTTTTATTGTTTTGGCATTTCTGTGGTAGTTATCTGGGTCTGTCTTTTTGTCAGTGACTGTTTGCATCGCTCTTACTTGTTATTTCGTATTGCTGTCCAGCCGTTTGTGCCCGTCTTACCTTGTTGGTGGCTTAAAATGTTACCCTTATCAATTAAATTTGTTATTTGGTAATATCATAGATTTTGTTAAAGTCCTGGGAAGAAAAGTCGACCGGAGTGATGCTTACCATATTGCCCACAAAGTGCAAATTGTTCTAGAAAATTTAGGTCTAGCCCTATATGCCCATTTTGCCTAAAGGCGTGGAAAAACGTCTTTTACTTTTTCTACATCGCTTTTGGTGAAAACCTTTATTGGTCGACCACGGAGTTTGGGTGAGACTCGAACACACACCTACTCCTATGCGCCTTTGGGCGTATTGGAAATATAGGGCTAGACCTATATTTTAAAGACCGATCGGCACTTGGTGGGTGATGTGGTCAGCATCACGCCGGCCGCCTTTATTTCTAAGGACTGCATCTGGTACGCCAGAGCTATTCAACTAAGTTTATTCAGTGGCCAAAATGTTGGAAAACGGTGATCGTGGCGGGCCAGAAGCCAAAGTCCTAGCATAGAAAGTACACTAATACAGAACAGCTGGCAGTGATCTGCGGGCCACTTGCTAGGACTTCGCGGGCCAGATTTGGCCCGCGGGTCGCCAGTTGAATAGCCCTGTGGTACGCGCTCAAGACTGGGTCGACATGGGAGTCAAGGTCATTTTTAAAAGAAGAATAAAATCCGGCTCCATCAGGACGCGAACCAACGACCTTCCAATCCGCAGGCGGGCGTCTAGCCGCCAACGCCACGGCGATTCCTCCTATGCGGGTAAGGAAGATAATTTTTACTTCAAAGGTGGGAATCTAACAGCAGATGTTTATGAGAGACAAAAATACCTATACAAAATAGTATTTAAAAAAAATCACACACTGTATTTCATGAAGTTGGCTCTGTGGCTAAGTCGATGCGAACGCTTCGTAATGCCGGGATGCTGGGTTCGATCTCAGCTGCGGGCCATGTGTCTTGAGTTGGTTTCGACAGTGGTATCAAGAAAACCGACCGTCCAGAAAGCAAAATAAAGGTTAGTTGCGTATCCTTTACAGAACGTTGCAGAACCAATACCAACAGCCCCTGACTGTTGTGTAGTTTTTTTAGGCAAATTTAAATGATACCACTGTCGAAATCAACGCTAGGCGCATGGCCCGCAGCTAGGATCGAACCCGGCATCCCGGAATTACGAAGCGTTCGCATCGACTTAAGAAAGCAAACTACTGGACGTAAATTTGCCTAGAAAAACCACATATCAGCCACGAGCTGTTGGGGTTGGTTCTGCAACGTCCTGTAAAGGATACGCAACTAACCAATATTTCACGAAGATTTACTGGAAAATAATATGTTTAATTAATAAAAACATTCGCGTAATTATCTCCGTTTCTTAACAGTAGATACACATTTGCGCCGTGTATACCGTATAATTACATACGCCGCGAAATGGAATTAGTCCAAACACAATTAATGCAGTCAGTTATCGAGACAGTTTGTAACATTTCACTGACACTTTTTTTGTTACGTTTCAGGGACATTTTTTGGGGGGTAACGTTTCACGGACTCTTTCAACACTGACGTCATTAATGGAACATAATGTTTATTAATTAGGCTTTCGCACAGTTGTTCTCCGTGACCTCCTCCATAATTGTTTCACCTCGGGTATTTTTGGTAGCGCGGTCTTAATGGTTTTTTTTTCCCCCTTTGTGATTTATTCTCTCTGTTTGTCTTCTCGGTGACCCTTGTGTCTTGTGGTATTGTTAAGGGGAGAATACTGTAGTGGTTTGCGAGAAAACGAACTGTGTATGCTGCAGGGTTGCCAGATGAAAAACTTCATTTTATGCCAAACCGTTTCCCAAGATTTGGCAGAAAAATGCCAAATAAAGTGTAACGTTGTACTCACTTCACATCAAAAGCTCTAAATTGAATTCTTAACTATCATCCTCACTGGACCCAGTGGAAGATACAACGTAAACCTTCTTGAATGTAAAATCTGTAAGCATTTTCTCAGATGGGATTAAGTCTTTGCAACTCATCTATAAAAATGGCATATTTCTTGTTCCGAAAATCATAAATAAGGTCATCCTTAAGTGCAGGCGATATAATACTGTTTTTTCCCCCTTCATTAGGCATGAACAGTTAGTTCTATGCAACTGTATGTGCTCCAATGTACTCCCCCGACCACGCGCTCTCATGATTTCACTTAGATGATCAATTGTATGTATTGCCCAATTGCAGGTCATGCTTACAGCAAGTTGCAACTCTGCTGCCTTTAAATGTATCATAACTTTGCCTAGGAGTCATTGTTGTAATAAGCTGTGACTGGCTTTTTGACGGAGTTTTCATCCTGTGTTTTTCGGATTTTTCGTGATTTGATATGCTACTAATTCTTGGTACAACAGTGCGCTGACACAGTTTAAAATATGCTGCCTCTAATTCGTCTGAAGATCTTTTGAGCCGTGGGTATGTTTTCTTCCAGTAACTATTATACTTGCAATTTCATAAGATGCTTTCCATTTTTTTTTTTTCGGGATAACGTGGCCATTAGTAAAGGTAATAAAATCGATCACAGATAGAAAAAGTTCTATATCCTCTCTATTTTCTGTCCTCAAGTAGTTTCTGAACAGTCTAAATCACTTGGTATCTGTGGTGGGTTTTGATTTTTTATCCCGCATTTACTCTAGTAGATTAACATAAATTACAGAGAGTCTTGGTTTATCGAAGTCACGATCCGTTTAGGAAGACAACAAATACAATAAGAAATGGCGCGAATCTCCCTTAGTCCGTACCAGGACATCACAACAAAGTCAAACTGAAAAGAAGATGTTAACTTTAACTACATTGCCAGGAAAAACCCAAATATGCCAAAATATGCCAGTTTATTATCTTATGCCAGTTCAATTTCAAATATGCCAAATTTGTGAAATCTGGCATTTAAAAAATGCCAACATGGCAACCCTGGTTTGCTGTTGGTTTTAGCCAGGAGGGGAAAAATTATATTGACTTTTATTATTCTTTCCCTTCTCGTTTTTGCTTTGTGCCGTTAGGCCTTGCGGGTAAACAGGTTAACAATATCCGATCCAAATCAGTCTTTGTTAATTTTTCCCCCAACGAATAGGTTACAAGAGGTGTTGGATAGAACACACGTTGATAAAACATGAGATCAGTAGCTTTTTATACAAATGTAGTCATCCCAATGTTGGATGCAATTTTTGGTTTTTTTTTTCGAAGCCCACCCTGGCTCTTGCCAGGGGCCGCAATATAGCTCGGCCATAAAAATGTTTTAATGGCTGAACGAGGATTTTAGGACCTCTCCACGGGTGATCCTCATCCACATGGTGGCACTTTGTGTCATCGGGTGTTTATCGCTTGTATGATGTCCTGTTGGGGTAAAATGTAGTACTACTACTACACGAGATCAATATAACTTTGATATAATATATGATACCTAAAGCGTCAAATAGTGTGCAAGTACAGAGATACCTCGGTGTACGTACTTAATTAATCCTTTTCTGGTCCTTAGATATATACCAAACAGGACGTAAACAAAACACGACTGTACGAGACAGCATGTATACCAGACGGGACGTATATGAGGCAGGACGTATACCAAACAGGACGTATACCAAACAGGATGTATAACCAGACAGGACGTATACCAGACGGGACGTATACCAGACGGGTCTATACCAGACAGGATGTATACTAAACAGGACGCATACCAGACAGGACTATACCAGATCTTACGTATACTAGACAAGACGTATACCAGGCAGGATGTATACTAAAAAGGACGTCTATCTGACAGGATCTACCAGAAAGGACGTGTACCATACAGGGTGTAT